ATCAATAGATATAGTTATAATAATATTAATACGTTTGTATATCCTGCAAAATTGTTGTACGTGACGTATACTAAATATAATTCATATTATTATAATTATAAAAATGCGTTACAGCAAAATAATATTAGATAGCATCAAAACGTATTCTATAATTTTAGTTAAAAATCACCAATAACGTACAATAACATAATATTATCTGTAATTATTTCTAAAAACAATGTTTTTGTAAGAATAGTTAACAAACACTATTATTAATTATTAATTATTTGACTAAACAAGGAATATTTATATATTTAGTCAAATAATTATGTTTAAAGACGAATTTGAATATCACCTAGAAACTATTTAGTATCGTAATATTAAATTGTTATAGTTATTCAACTAAAAGCATTTTTCAGGTAATCATATGACACAATTCTTTACTAACGAACATGGTCCACAATCTTATGGAAATAGATATGTTTAAATTTTAAGACGTATTATAAAATATCAAACGTCATATTTCATAACAATATAACAATGCTTTTATAAGGCATAATAATAATAAAAAAAAAGATAATAATAATAATATAAAACTTACTTGTTAGCAAGTACACGTTATATAATTATTGAAATTAAATACGCCGATAATTTTTGTTACACTTAATGTGTTATAAACAAGCATATTATATTTAAAATTAAGGACGTTGAATGTTAAAGGTTGATGACATGACAACCTTAGTCGCTGTCAGTCAATAACAGTCTATCTTTTTAAAATATATAAGACTGATTGTCTTGCATAAAAGTATTGAGTAGGTATATTGATTCAACATTCTACCACGATTTTAATACATACTAATATTGGTCATTAAAACGTTAATTATTAAAAAAAAAAAAAAAACTATTAAATGTTTGTTGGTATTATTTTTTTCGGGATGAGGGAGAAAAACCGGTGCCAGAAACAACGGGTTATTATAGTGTTCAAATAATACTGCATGTTTTGGCAGTATTAGATATGTAGTACCTACTTATTATTTATGTTATCAAAACTAATGTGTTTAAAAAATGGTCTGTCCAAATTAAAAAGCAGGTCATATAAATATTATCCACTCGAATGAAATGTGTTATTCGGACAAATTTTTATTTGATGGCATAATAAATTCAACAATTAATGATTACTGTAAAATAACTTACAAGCCAGAACCTACAATTTATATGAATATAAATTAAAAAATAAATGTACGATTCAAATTATAAGCTACAAATCACAGATTTCACAATGGTATTTTGAATTTTCGTACCTGATTTAAATCCACTTGCTTAATATGTTTTTCGTTTTATTTCGTGTAGATCGTTCAAGTTTGCTTTAGAAATCTGCGCAGACCTATAAAATATTATTATGAATTAGGTACTAACTGTTCAATTGTGCTTGGGTGATTTCGTTTTTATTCTTTATTGGAAATATAATATTTAATGTAACTTCTGTTAAAGATATTTTGTGTTCAGTATTAATACCTTAATAATTTGTTTTTTGCCACGTTAAAAATTTGTTGCAAACTTTTTTATAGCAGTTACAAATTAATTGCAAACAAATATATAATATTGTGATTATTTACAACAAACACATTATAACTATGTAGTAAAAATTATTTTCCTAAATTCTATATCAAAATCATGTTATATTAGATAAAATTCGCTGACGGGCCCGGTGTATAAGTGAGTTGATTTCCGAGACTTACTTTATGTATGAGTTGATTCCTAGGTCATTATTAGGTATGTATGAGTTGATTCCCGGATCATTTAGAGGTATGTACGAGTTGATTACTAATTGTTGTACATCAATGTAAAATGCAGGACCAATGGGATTATAAAATCTAAGAAAAACCAAGAAAAGCAATTTTTTTAAGAGAAGTATATATTGTCGCGGTATACCTAATGGTAATCAGTGGCGGATCTAGGATTTTTTATGGCGTGTGCTATTTTATTAATAATAGTTCTAAAGTACTTATTAAGTATAATTTGGGGAGGGGGAATTAATAATTTGGTATTTAAACAGTGAGAAAACGGAGTCTTGCGATGTGCATGTATTTTAGATTTATTACATAATTAAGCAATATAAAAATTACGTATAAACAATTTAACAAATATTGTTTTTTGATAATTAAGTACATAACAATGTAATGTGATGTAATGTAATTTTTTGTTCTGGTAATCCGTATCAAAAATTCGCCACTCGGCTAATTATTAATAATTTTTAATAAAAATACGCAGAACAGTAGATGTTTCTGCTACAAAGTACCCCCCCTCCCCTTAAATCCGCCACTGCTGGAAATCTCATAATCAGATACCAATTTTTAAAAACAATGTGTTATGAATTTTTACCAAATTACTAAATTTTTTTTAATAAATAATAAATATAATATGAAAAAACTAAAAATAACATTTTTGAAAAATTTGTTAGTTAACTTCTTCATGGTGTTTTTTGGCCCTCGGGTTACGCTAGAAGGCTGAATATTTGAATAAATATTGAAAAAAATATATAATGACCCTGGGAATCATCTTCCACAATTGTATTGTACATTATGGTTTTTAATATTTTCTTATTGACATTTGAAATTTACGTAATAAGAAGCGCGCGCGCGCACACACACATTCACTAATAAATTAATTTTATGGAAATCACATTTACGACAGAATGATATTAAAAATATTTTAATTTGATTTCAAAATATATTTAAAAAATAATCTTACTAAAAATAAAATAGAATAAAAAATAGAATCCTAAAATAAATAAAATTATACTTTCACACAAATGTGCGCTTAAATATTAATATATTATTGGTTATATTTTGTTATCGTTTTTATTATACTGTATATTGTAGTCTTGTCATTCGTCAGGCAATCGTATATATACGTGCGCACTTTTAAAATATTTGTTTTCTTTTTTTTCTGCGAATACGGATGCTAAAAGCTTTTTGACAGACGGTCAACAGAAAAACCAAGATTGTGAAATAACCTGTAAATTGTAGTAAAGTGTATTTTTTTAGCCTATTGCAAAACGTAGCTTTTTCATCAGAAGGTTTGAATCATATAAAAAATAATTCCAATTTTGAAACTTTTGTTTTGTAGTTTATATATATATATATATATATTTTTTTTTTTTTGGTAATTTTTTTTTTGATATTGTATAATACATCCAATTCACAGCCCTCGTATAACCATAATAATCACACACGTTCGCTAAAAATCATCTGTTCAGCCCGATGTAGCGCTACATTGTATGCGCAGAGAATTTAAAGCTCAAGATATAGAGAAAATTATATTAGTTTTAAATCGTTTTTATTTTATTTTTTAATGTTTTAATCGTACCCGTACGATCACAATTTGTGTTCTCCTCTGATCGAAATCCTTATTTCTTTTTTTTAAACGAATGCTCTTCTTCTTGGCGTTTTCCAAGGTGGTGTTTGTTTCAAAATATAATACAGAAATAATATGTTAAATTGAATAATTAGATTGTTTTACAATTATGTATTTTATAGTCAAAACAATATTTTATAGCAGACGATAATGTGCTGTAGTATCAAATTCAAAATTTGAAATAAATGGTAAATAAAAGTCGCATATTTCTCGATAAAATCCCCCCAGAACGCACGTAGAAGAAAACGTTATTTGTGTCGTCTCAAGAGGAAATTTATGTAAAATGTAATATATATATATATATATATATGTGTGTGTTATATTATACATGCTATTGATGAATCATAATAAGCTCTCAATAATATCATTATAATACTCTCCTAAGTATGCCGACATCATTGACGCGCACGCGCAGGTAATTCGACGACCGCGTAAAAAATATAATCAGCGACAGATCGGATTCAAATTTCAAAACTGATACGGAAACAAAACACGAAATCTGGTAATATTATTTATTATACGTTATAATGTAATACATAATATTATATGTATACGTGACGAGTATATTACATTAGTGTATACCTATAGGTACTTACTGTCGTATAGTCTGGTCGGTTGTGTATCTACCTGGTGGCTATAATATTGTCATAGGTATGGGTATATTATACATATTTATGATGATGTGCATGGATCGTCGCTCACATCTCGGGGTTTGGATACAATTTTGAAATATGACCTTTGCTGTATAAAAAATACATTTTGGTAAATTTAATTCGGTAGAATATCGGTTTGCCCGCTGAATTCCAACATCGACTTGATTTCATATATATTTATATATATTATATGATACATAATACATGTATGTAGGTGCGTTTTTTATTATTTTACTGACAACTGAAAACATAAAAATACTTAACAGGACGCAAGTGGATAATAGGTAAGTACCTAACGACTAAAAATCACGCAATGTTAAAAAATAAAAATGTATATAATATATTATATTATAAATGTATTGTAAGACATACACTTATTAAGTATAAAGATTTTACACGTGAATAATAAATATTATTTTCAATTTTTTTTTTCATTTAAAAACACAGATTCTTTATATGAATAATACTAAAAACTTAACTCAGTAGTATATATATATATATTATTATTATTATTAATATAATATATGATATGATATTTACAACAAATAAAATATACATTGTATATAATTATAGTGAATAATAATCATGAAAAAAAAAAAAAATTATAAATGATGATAATAATAAAGTGACTAGAATTAAAAATACTACAATATACATAATAATATAATATTTAATATTATACACACAAAGTGCGACTCCGCAGAAATACGCGTGCTTCGAACGTATTCGCTGCAACACTTATACAAATAATATACATCAATCGTTTAATATTATAACAATATAATACATAATGGATCGATCACGGTCAAAAGATCACCACCACACCTGTACCAGAGTAGTAAGAGTTTATTGTACGTATACCGCGATTGCGACAAGAGAAAAATAAAACGAAGACGTATTATAAACGTCAATTCTTTAAAATATACAAACCAATAATGAGATATTAACTATAGTAATAATATAATGACGATAAGTAATAATAGTAAATAGTAATAATCTTATTTTTTATTTTAATAATATAAACGCCCGCTCTGTTAGCCTGGCGTGTTATAACATTCAAATAATATTATATTATACAAAACACGCATACATACATATAAATATATAATATAATATGGATGCATAATACAAAAATACGCGATAGCAGATTAATTAACGACGAGTAAACGATACGAAAAATAAAAATACGCGCCGACACATTAATTACGTTTGTTTTACGACATTGTTACTCCGAAGACTCGTAAAATGTTTTTCTTTCTTATAATAATAATAATAATAATAATAATATTATGTTCGACTTGGTCGTAAAACCACGAAAATCGATAAAAGCCTAAGTGCTCTGTTGCGTATTGTACGTTTTGTTTGTTTTCCCGTCGTTGAGCGCACGCGTTATTTATGACGATATTATTGATATTATTTACCCATAATATGATTATATCGTCGTCGCCGTTGCCGCCGCTTTCGTCGTCGACGAAGGTGCGTTACACGCGTAAACAAGTATATATATATATATATATATATATATAAATATAGGTTTACCGTATCGGTATTTTTTTTAAAATTTTAATTAATAATATATTAACGTGTTTTAAGGGTGCGCGCGCTCATGGAGACGGTAGCCCGAGACCCGCACCTCCCACGTCGTAACGCCGGCACCGCAGCCGTTCACATGCCGCCCCTACTGCTACAGTCGTCAGCGGATCCCATCGACGAACAGTCTTCAGAATCGCCCCCGTATGACCGTTCCTCGTCCTGCGGTGAACTCCCCACGGCGGCCGATGTAGCGTCGACGGCGGCGTCGGCCGAGGACTGATGCGATGACGGAGCGCACTCGGGACACGCGCCGCCGTGACCCTTATCCGTTTCCGGTGCCATGTACACCTTACCGCATTTGTTGCATTCCTCTTGGGTTTCACCTGCGGAAAACGAACAAATTAAAAATATATTAATATACGGTCGAGATATTGTTAGGATAACGTCATTATTATATTACACGAGTATTATGCTGTCGTTATTAATAGTTGGTGTGGTATGAGCATGTTATATACTATTATCTTTATAAGCATAGTGGTTTATAGCAAGGAATTGGGGTTCGATAGGACTGAAACACTTAAAAACTTCGTAAAGCGTATGCATATTATAATATCACAAAATATAAGTACACATATTATTTTAACGTTATAAACGTTTTAACATGTCCATATTTATCTTAAAAGATTCGTTGCGAATCACGATTATGATGTATCATATTATATATGACTGGGATAAAAGTTGGATGATTAATAGATAACTTAAGCTATACGTGTCAACGGTTCTCAATCTTTTTAAATTTCATAGTATTATTCACAGGTTTTGAAAATTTTTAACGTACTGCTAGAAAGTATATATTATGTATAATAATAATAATAATAATATTCTAATTTTTTTTCCTTAAAATCGAATAACACATAAGAGCTTTTCACGTACCACTGGTTGAGAACTATTAATATATATATACACATATAATATGTGGTTGAGTATATGTTTATATACAAAGAAAGCTTATTTTAAAGTTTAAATTTATTATTTACGACGAATAACCAATTAATAATTTTGAATGACCGTATTAGGAATTATTGAAATTTTTGGGGTTTTGATGTACAATAAACTAAATATGTGATTTAAGTATTTAATTAAACAAATCAAATAAAATTAATTTTTGGCCTGAGAGCCATTATTGGTAACCCTTATTACATTATGTGTTGTTTTTAAACGGTATGTTATTTGTAGTGGTTATTGTTTGATGTATAAGGAAATAGTAAAACATCTTCAACTTTGATCTGCAAAAAAATTTTTAAAACAATAACTCGCAATTTTATTTTTCAGACTTATTAAGAAAACATATTTGAAATTTCAAGCTCCGATCATTAATGCGATATGATCATTGATCAAGGTACAATCTGAAATATTCAAATCTCGGGTAATCTGGTCTGTATAATAATAAATCATATAACGTATATAATATTTTCTGACCAATTTTACTTAGTCGATTTATGTAGGTATCAGAGATTTTTAGAAAACATTTTTAGATATCGTATACTGCAGTTTTACCAAACGACAGTCTAATGGTTATGTATAGGGCCTTTGTTGTGATCCTCGGCTATTATATAAAATAAATATATCATTATATGTATAGTGCATTATATATATTATATTATTATAAGGGTTTAAGTGTTTTTTATAGGTCGCCAATTATCCGTCGTCGTTTGTTCGCTTATATACCTAAAGGGGGTAATTCGGTGGGCGTAAGTGCGTGTATAATTGGACGACCAAATGTACGCCGGTGTCTATTAATTTGGGTAGTATTATTACTATTATTTTAGATGTAATAAAATATAGGCGCCACAGATAAATGCGAGGACAATTTTCGCGGCGAGCACATGAGACCGGTTCATGGAAAAGGTAATACCCTTAACACGGATTTCGCCAATAACGGTGTATAAATAAGCCTTGAAACACCCCGTTTGTAGGCAATAACGTGCGTGGTATATATCGTTTCGGCGGCGTTTCACGATAGCTCTTAGACTTAGCTGCACGTAAATGCGCGTAACGTGTGTTTACGTGAGGGCAAACGACGCCCACACGCTGTATATTATATAATAATAATAATATATCGTTTTCGTGAAAGTGTGTACACAGTATATGAATGGCGGCATCGTGACGGTGGGAAAAAATAGAAAAAAAAATTCGTTTTAAGAAAAATATTAAACGACATAATGGATTTGAGTTTCATGACGGTGACGCAGATAGTGCAGGCGGTTATCAAAAAATAAATAAATAAATAAGTCCTAAAAATATCAAAAACCTATATGAACAAAAACTAATAACTAACAATATCGATTATGACGCACATTTTCTTTAGTAGGTTGGACTAAATATACATTGTATACGAACTTCCTGTCTGACCTTTTTGTTATAACATTTTTCCTTCAGTTTTCTTATCCATTGATTGTTAAAAAAACAAAGTCATACTTTATACTTGTTAAAACATTTTATCTATTTTCACTCTAAAACACTCAAATTGTCCATGATTAATCTAATCAAATAAATCCCAATTCAACGAATATTGCACGTATTACTTAAAATCACGAATTTGTGGAAATCAAACGATAATTCATGTAATCACCTGTAAATTTGAATACTTAAATATGATATTATTTGACTGAAATTGCAGTATGAAGATTAAAATTATAACTATAGATATCCATTGTAATATTGATAAGTATAATATAAATTTTGATTAAATCATTGGCGGTAATGAATGATACGCGCACTATATAGTAATCATTTTATTGATACGGTGTATAATATTAGGTACATAACGTGTATAGAAAATTTTATGCGGTCGGTCTGATAATCTACATAAATCATAATAAATTGATATGCAGTGCGTATGTGTAAGCGACCCGGACCTGTGTATGTGTATATTTCCCGTCGGCTTTAATATTCCGTTTTAATAAATATATTTGCGTGCAATTGCCACTCGGATTTCTCGCCACATTCTATACGCGGATCGTTTCCCGTACTCGCCAGTAATGGGTGCGCGGGTATAATGATAATACTATCAACGCCGTCATCATACATCCTACTGTCCGCGCCCGTCTCTTCCGCTTTATCTTCGTCGATCGCGATCGTAAGTCGATTGAAAATCAAAAAGCAATTTTCGGTCGCTGCCAAGACTCGATCTCCCTAGTATATTATACCTACAGGTGTATGATAATAATTATATATTCTGCAGCCAATAAAAGTATAAATAGACACGAGAAAAAAAATCATAAAACTATTACACATAAGTCTTAGAACTTTCCTAACGCTCGTTTATTACAGTCGATATTCGTTGGAAACATCGTTGTTTCTATATAATATAAATATATAACATACACTATTATAGTTTCTATACTGACTGAAAAGATAAACGTGTATATTACGTACGATGTATATAATTATAGGCAGGTTGAGCTGGCGTAAAAACTTCATGCAGGCGCATGATACCGGGTTTTTAACTGCGTGAACGAGATACGAGTATAATATAATCATTTATAACACACAGGGTGATTTTTTTTTTTAAATTTAAAGAGATAGATTTCTCATTTTCTCAATGTGAAATAATAAAACCATATGCAATATAATAAATCATATCATCCGAGAATTCGTTACTTGAGATTTTTATGTAGAAACCATTGTATTTACATTATTGTATACAAACGGCGCAGCCCTTATAACGTAAATAGTGGCGTAAATTGTAAAAAACATTTTCTATTTAAAACCGAATCGACTACTGACGTCCTTGTTTAAAACTTATTGCATTTAACTTATATTACTTGGTCGACATTAATGTAATACATTTTTTCAAGTTGTTATAAAGTAGCTAAATCATTTAACTATTCTTGCCCCTTTATCGTTTTAAAAATATTCTAAGACTAATTATCGTTCACAGTTCACAACTTACTGTGTTAGTTGGTATCGTTAAGAACATTTTTAATGACTATTCATTATTAATAGAAAACCATTTTGAATATCATTCAGCCAGGTACTGAAGTATTGCTATATTTCCGATTAAAAATTCCTAATTTCGTCTTCAAGTCATGTGTATCACCGACAAATTATTTACTTAGTTGTACCTATTTAGTGATTAATATGAGAAAGTGACTTGTACGATAATTGCAATTGTTTATAGTAAAAAACTTGTCATACATATTTAATAAACAAATATAGGCTTTTAAAATAGAAATGATACATATTTTTATGATTTTTTAGTTAAGCAAGTACTACATTTATACCAATCGCACCACCGAATTTACGCCACTACGTACGAAAAAATAATAATTATAATAACATATCACACGACTATTCATTATATTATTGTGAGACGACGTTATAATAATAATTATAAAATAATAATACCATAACTATATAATAGGACTCACAGCTATACTTCTGCACTCAACTTTATTGTATAGCTGATAGTTATAATATAGGTACCGCGTATTTACGTTACACGCGTGTGGTTATTGGGTCGCGGAAATTACACGTTATATCCCGCGCGCGGCAGAAGACGGCGTCGATCCCTATTTCTATATTATTATATAATAAATATATATTGTTACCGGCTCTAATGAATCGGTCGATAATCTTGGTTGCAGATATGGGTACACGCGTGTATATATGGGTAAGTATACTATGAGTACCTCAGGGTTGATATGTGTATACACTATACAATATATAATAACAAATTTTGATTGTGTCGAGACACACATAGTGAGAAAAAATAGGTAATAAACAGAGAAATAAGTGGAGAAAGGACAATCACTTCTGTGCAACGGATCACGGACCCTGCTGAAACTCAAACCACTACCATTCCGTATAAAACTCGAATGTTATAACAAATTTAAAGAACACATACGTAACAGACTCACAAATGATGATGGCAACCGTAAATTATAAATCGACGAGCTCAAGTTATGATATGGTTATTATTACAAATAATATGTACTCACTCTCGTGGGTCTTCATGTGCGCTCTCAGGTTGCAGGCGAGAGCGAATTTCTTTTGGCATAGTTCGCAAGCATGCGGTTTGTCCCCTGAAACAAACAAAAAATACAATCGTTAATATACCTATAATTTTCAATATAATATTATATATTATTTACGGGTTCATATTTGTCTATGGTTAGCTAACTACTTTATGAATAATCTACAGACTGTACTTATCACCATGTCAATAAAAAATAATTGATAATATTACGTGATGAGTATTTTATGCTATATATATTACAGCTAGCGAAACTTTAATCCGGATTAAAATGTATTATAATATTATACCGTCGTCGATTCGTCTTATCCCGATCGGAATAATCACGATTCCATGTCGAGAGAAACCTACAGTGGTGAACCATAATAAGCACATGTAATAGACTTCTCTCTCTTTTGGTACATATACGTGCATATTATATTATAGTATATGTCGTAAATAAATAAAAAAAAAAAAACGTGTATTTGAATGAAGGTTATGGACTTGAGACTACTGAATTAATTGGTACCAAATTTAGCACAAAAATTCCTTAATTATCGGAGAATATTTATAATTTAATTTTTCAATTCATATAGATCGTTAAATGACAGCTCACTTATGAATATCGTTCTTGCTTACGAAAATCGAATATTTTTTTATTTTATTACATATAAAATATTGTCATTGATTATACTACTGTTCGAGCGCTTGACTCATAGACTCAAAAACTACTCTATTAATTTTAACAAGAATTTCAGACATTTTTCTTAGATATCTCAGGAAGATTTAGCGTATAGCTGTGAACTGCGTCAAATTAATTCATAAAGCTAACCGGTATGCTGATTCGCTTGTAATCTAAGGTATACATTAAAACTAAGATATACATAGATATAGCATGATATTTTATATTTCTAATTTTTGCTCAAACGAATTTTACTACTAGTATATAATATATATATAACACAAAGTTTTGTCGATGGGTGTCACGTTGCTAGAATACTTATATATGAAGCACAAAGAGATAGTGTGTATAAGCGAGAGAAAAATAAATCTGTTTTACAATTTTGTCATCGTGCTTGACTACGTGATCGTCTCAGTGAAAGGGTATATTACAATAATAATAACAATTAATAATATTATTATTTGCGATCGGGTTGGTTCGCTGTCACCGTCGCCACCGCTGCCGCCCGGGTCGTTTCAAGAGGATTTTAATTAGACATCGCATTGTTCAATTCAAACGTCACGCTGCCGCGTTGCCGTATAATAAGGCGAAGAAATTTCTGCGCTCCGCCCCCAGCAGTATATCGTCGTCGTTTTGAATGGCACTAGTCGCAGCCTCTACCGCTGTGTCATTACAAAGTGCCCACTACCAATACACATAATACAATATATACGCTCTTATACATATTGTCAGTGTATTTACGTATGGGTATTGGGTATAGACACAAACACCATCATATCTTACCCGCAAGACCGTCTGGCCGGTTGTCTCCTTTTTGCACACGTTAAATTCGATTTTTCAATAAACGTCCGTCGTCAACGGGTATTTATAACGTGGACTACCAGCGCAGTCGATTGCAGTATATTTTCTAACAACATTGCTACTGGTATATAGATACGTGCGTGTAATGATAATAACGATCGTCATCCGCTTGTGCGGTTGGTCACACATTGTCCGTCCAACAATATTACAGAATATAATACTATACAATATCATAATACAAAATATGATACCTGAAGTAGAGTATTCACGAGCGGTGTGGGTGATATGAAGATTTTCTGAACAGAACACCTTCGTGCGAAATTTATTTAAATAAGAAATTAAATTATTAATAAATAAATCACTCGGTTCATGTGAACACGCAGATCATCAGCCTTATACTCATATTCATAGCATAGAGAGGTGTATAATTAATGGTAATAATGAGCAATAATACGTATGTGTGCGTGAGTATTCTATATATCCGTTTTGTCTTCGTATATATTCGTCATCATTATGTATACATATCATATTATAGGCGTTATCCAGCGCGTCTACGTTGTAAGACTCATAACCGCATTACTGTCATCTGGTTGCAGCAAACGATCGTGTTTTCTTCATTTTGATTTTTCACCTATACTTTGTATGCTTTATTATAATGATTTATGTTCATCCGTCGATCACATCATCATCGTCATCGTACACATGACCAGTATATTTTTCGAGTGTCGACCGCTAACGCGGAAACCGTCGAAGCGCTAATATCAAGTTTTTTTTTTAATATCAATAATATTATTTCCACACGCGCAATATTATTTTAATAATAATAATAATATATGCATGTAATATAATATGTACGCTGCCGTTGTTTACCGGCTGATAGTAATAATAATAACGATAATAACCTGACGTTTCATTACGTGTACACGGCTACTATATTATATAGGTACATGTTAAAAAAAGAAGATAGACTATATTATATTATTATAATAAATATTATGCATATGTATGTGTGTGTGTGTGTTTGTGTGTGTAATAGCTATTGCCTATATGTATATATATATATTATATAAATGTATAAGGAATATAAACAAGAACAGGTCGGGTCGCTCGGGTCGGAGCGTATACGTATAGCTAAATTACGACGGTAATTATTATTCCGAGGGGAGAACGGGTTTGACCAACCTCCCACCACAACCCCTTCATCTCACCCATGGGTCCGACGACTTCGTCCAGCCCCTCGTGTGCCGCGGACGCCTTCGAATCACGCGCGTGCATAATTTGTAGCAGCAGTAGCCGCAGCAGTCAGCCCGCTACTATATTATCTTCTGCAGATATCAAGCGAGGTACCACGGTAGCCGCGCGTGGGACGTCTTCCGTTAAGGTGTGTGTGTGTGCGTGTGTGTGTGAGTGTGTGGTGTGGTAAGGCGCCGCTGCGTAAACAGGACGATAAATCCAAACAAAGAGCGTTTCTCCGTCTTAAAGGTTTTCCACGCTTAACATATTATTATGTTATATTAAAATAAAGTTAGTGTAGTCGACGGGCACAATTCCGACGACGGACATTGGTTTCGATTGGTAATGTCGATTTGCGCAAATTAATCGTATCGGTTTCGGTCGGGTTAAGCTCTTGGAAGTCGTACCCAATCAACAGACGTCAGACACATTCACCACACTAAGTTAATATATTATGATCGCACGACTGTGTACGTGTTTTTTGATATTCTGTTAGGTCTCCTCAGAGACTGAAGTACGCGCATGTTATACGTGGATTCGTAATTAACATTTAATCGGAACCTATAAAATTTATTAATAATAAACGGAATAGTGTAGAAAAAAAACATATGACGAGGTCAATACACGGGTAATGCCCATTACACGATATTAATTTAACAATAATAATAAGTCATCGGACGTTAGATCTTTGTCGGGACGCATGCGAGCGGCAGGTGTCACGAAAAGCGAAGAGACACCTGCTGCAACAGCAGTCGTCTTGGAGAGAAACGCGACTTTTTAGAAGCATTCGACAAAAAATCCCACTGTTTATTATAAGTTGCAGTGGCAGTTTATCGTACGCGTATTAGATTTTATAATACATGGCAATAGGTAAGAAAACGAACTTTTGAATCTCGCAAACAACAGATTTTTTCCAAAACTTTTATACGAACTGCTGGTGCGGCGTACCTATAAGTACGCGCTCACGAAGTGCATACAGGAGGATATCCACGCAAGTAGAGTTTGAATTACTTCGAACGACGAGGGAAAAATTCCGACGGGTGGCAGCATCAGCGGTGCAGGATGAACGATATTTAAATATATAATAATTACCCGGCGACGAGAACGGGTCGTGTGTCACGCGTAAATCAGCCCCGGCCAATAATAATCTACCGACTAGCGTGTACGACGGCGACGTTAAAATACACATACGTACCTATATTATTATGCCTCTCTCATCGCTATTTATCTTTCTCTCTCTCTCTCTCTCTCTTTCTTTCGCTGTATATAATATATTATATGGGACGCAGGGCAGATGTAAGCGGTAGATAAGTGAATGGTGCACGACCGTGTTTATGTTAATGAACCGACGGCAATTACAAGTTAATTTACTCGCGGGGCTCCTGCTCGATTGATAAATATATACATATAATAATAGCTCTGTATACGACGCGTCGCATATACATACGTCTATTATATTCTCTTCTATCCATTTTGTCCAAGCACCGCTGTTACGGTTACGCGACGAGACTACCGCGCAGTGTACACCCCGACCCGGACCGCGTGGACACGATGAGGAGAGACACATACCGCGCGCGCAGTAAGATATTATAATACATTATATGTTACTTTTCTATTATTATTATTCGCCCCCGTTTTTTGTTTAAATATATAATCATACGTATTATTTTACATAGCCGTTTAATAATATAATAATAATAATTATTATTATTATTATATGTTTCGTGCGCGAAAGATACTCGATACCGATACGCACACGTTATAAATTATGCACATGTACACATAATATTATTATATATAATTGTATAAATTTATTATAGGCACGCCATTGTTGTTGTTATTGTTATTATTTTGTCTCGGTGTAGTTATATGTATAGATTACGATTTTTTAAGTACGTACGTGTATAGGACCCATTTGGTTCTCCTAGCCCCTCATCTAATCAAGCAATACTAACCTAAATAGCATTAACAATTGTAATTATGTACGATATTTATGATCGGTAATTTTTTATAGTGTTCAAATTCAGGCTCAAAAAGCACTAGAAAAAAAAAAAAAAAAAACAGAATTTATATCATATAGTTACCCGCCAGTGTAATAATAAATAGTATCAATAATCTATATGCATTTTTTTCATGAGTACAAAAATATTTGAAAAATTTATTCATTATAATAAAAATATATTAAATAAAAAATAGGTGTCTCGTGTTTACGTATTATGTGGATGTGTCGGTTAGATGATAAGATTTTAGTATTTAATGTATTGGTCTGTATAAATAAGTGACTATTAACACAAAAGCAACATTTGCATGATTCGTGTAACATTATAATTGCATTAATATTAATATAGCATCGT